TAATAATAATAATAATAATAATAATAATAATAATAATAATAATAATAATAATAATAATAATAATAATAATAATAATCGCCGTTCTTTCGGCTTGGCTGGTTATTTGAATAATAATAATAATAATAATAATAATAATAACCGCAGTTCTTTCAGCTTGGCTGGTTATTTGAATAATAATAATAATAATAATAGAAATAATAATCCAAGAAAAAGTACAATTGATCGATCACATCCAGCCTTTAACACTACAACTAAATCGAAACGTGTAGAATTTGAAATCCCACTTGTAGTCACATCTAAATCAAATGGAAAATTTCCACAAGCTCCGAGTTATTCAGAAGTTGATGAACCTCCTGCTTATATCTACACCACCATGATTCCTCCTCCTCCCGAATACACTGCTAGAAATCATCTTCCTACCATTGTTCATGATGATGATAATGATGATGATAATGATGATAATGATGATAATGATTAAATTTTTATTTTTTAATTCGTCATCTGATTAAATTTATTTAGTATCTATTTATTTTATCAATCTTTATGTTATATAAAATAGTAAGCTTTAAAATATGCACAATATGTAAAAAAAACGATTGTTGTACAAAATAATTATTATAAAAAGTATATAAACGCGTAAGATTTAATTAGAAAAAAATCAATCCAATCAATAATGAACTTTAGTTGTAGAAAAGCTTTTAGAAATATTCATTCTTGTACATTTGATCTCTCCACGGGGATTATAATTAAATCTTGTCATAACGGATTTTAAAATTTTGCTATTACTATAAAAGATTAGTAATCTTGCCACAACGGGGTTTAAATTAAATTTTCTTCTTATGTATTCTGTTCATCCGCCGTGACAAGATTTAACTGTATTCTCTTGGAAATTGTTTAAAACATATTGTAAATCTTTTTTCATGAAATTGTTCATTTTTTGATCTTTCCTCTTCACTTTTCATAAATTATTCAAAATTATTACAAGTTATTGATACTAATGAAATAAGGAATATCCTATATACAGTAAGGTTCTTTTTTTGAAATATACAGTACCCTACCAAAAATGGAAATTTATTCTATAAAAAAGGAAATGGCTCAAATTTTTGTAACATCCTCGTGACAGTTATTTGTATGTGACGATTAAACTTGTGAGGCTTGGGGTGGTAGGAGTTATGGAATGCTTACCAACTCCAAAAATAAATTCTTATTTGTCACGTAGGTTCTGTATATTTCATAAAAAGAACCTTTCTGTATATAGGATGACCCATGAAATAATCTGTATTCTTCATCGTGAATTATCATTATCCAGAAATAAATTAGATATAAATATGAGATTTTCAATTTATTTTTATACTTTTCATTCGAAATTCTTTTAATATTTATAAGCTTTATTTAATTAATGTTATTAATTTCTATGAAAATGAAATTAATTTCTAAAAATCTTTGAAGAAAAAATCAGTAACAACGAGGATGAATTCATTGAAAACGAAAAAAGTTAAAAAAGCTTTATTTTTACAGATTTCATAAATAGCAATGGTAATAGCAATAACCATAATAATAGAAAATTAAATATTCGAAATCCTTTAAAAATTTCACTACAACTCTATTGATAGTAGTAGCAGCAGTAATTTAAAATTTCTAATTAAATTATTTCTAAAAAAACATTTAATTTAAATTATATTAATTGCAAATTTAAAGCTGATGATTTTAGAAGTAATTGATAACCATACAATAATGGGTTATTTACCAAAATCATATTTTTCACAAATTGCTTTGCAGAAGAATATGAGTTGCTGTTGCTAGGCGAAGAAGTTGATGTTGTTTCTCACATTGACCATTTAAACAATTAAAACCGATTTTGCAAGTTGTCTACCTGGCTCTTTAAGATTTGATTATGATTATGATTACAAATATGAGTGCGTGTATAATGCAAGAAGTATAAAATATTTTATTCAAATAAGGATGAAGATAACGTTGAGGTACTAAAAAATTACGATAATATTGAATATTTACATGTCTGATAATTATTCTATTCAATTAAATTCTAAAATAATTTTTATTATTAATATCAAAAAAAGGCGATTGTTTTCTAAGATTCGAACACCAATTTGCTATTAATTATTTGACAAATATTAAATCTTGCTCTTATTTATTTCCCAATCAATAATTATCTAAATTATTATTATCAATCACGGTATTTTACAAGAAATTCTTTATGAAAGTTCTCTAATCTTTTACAAAATCCATCAAATAATTCTTCTGGTGGAAGAAATGTACTGCGAAAATGCCATGTACCTTCCTTTTGCCCAAAACCACTACCAGGTACAACACAAACCCCTGTTGATTCGAGCATTGCTAAACAATAAAATTCATCAGGCTGTTTACCCAATTTTAATGCCATTTTGATTGCTTTTGGTGGAAGTCTAATTCTTGGGAAAAGGTACATTGATCCCTATTTATATTTATTTATTAATGTATATTTTTTTTTATTTTGTATAAAAAAATATATTAACAGAAAAATGACTTACATGTGCACTATTACATGATACACCTTCCAATCGATTAAACAATTCACATAATTTTTGACTACGTCTCTTTAAACTTTCATATATTGTTTTTATTTCCTCATCATACAATGGATAACTTTTATCACCAATTTTTGGAGGTTTAACCATCAAATCCACGATTATTTGTCCTTCTACATTTGGACAAAGATTGACCGAGGCAACCTTATAAAGCTCATCGACCACATCCATGTCGATTCCTGTACACTCAAAATATCCTCCTCTTTTACCACATTCTCCTATCATACCTTTGGAAACTGAATGAAATGAAAATAATTCTAAACCTTCATATTCTTGTCCCATTGATCTAAGAATTTTTTTGAATGAATGAAATGGTCTTTCTACAGGTTGATACACATTTGCTTGATATACCTCATCTGCCAAAAGAATTAGTCCTTCCTTGTAACAAAATTTAATAATTTCTCTTATATTTTGTTCTGTTAAACATTGTCCCGTAGGATTTCCAGGATTTATTATAACAAGCGCTCGAACATCTATTCCTTTTCCTTTTGCTTCTAAATATGATCGGTACAGTTCTTCTAGCTTTAAACTCCATCCATCATCATCATCTAAATAGTATGGTACTGTTTGTGCGTCGTATAATGCTAATGTAGAAGTATAAAGTGGATATTGAGGTATGGGTATCATAATGCCAACATTGTTATTAGAAACAATAAGTTGAACTACATTCTGAACTCCTGGTGATGCTCCTTGAGTAAGAAAAATATTATCTGGGTCTGATGGATATCCATCACGTTCTATATTATATATTTATATGTATATATGAATTTATTATGAATTTATTTTGAATATCAGATGAAAAAAAATATATATATATATATTATTATCCTTACTAACCTTCTATAAATTTTGCGACGTTTTGTCTTATATGAGGTATACCTTGAGAATGAGAATAGGCACCTACATTTTCTATCTGTTTTAATAATAATCCTGCTCGTTCAATTGCATCTGAAGGAAATAAAACTTCAACTTTATCACGATTCTCTGGCAATAAAAGGTCAGTATATTCTAATAGAGAAAGGACCTTATTTTGAAAAAAAAAAAGATGGCGATAATTGTGAATATGATTTTATGATAAAACAAAAATAAAATTATTGTTATTCAATTGATTGCTGATTAATCAATCAAACAATTGGTCAATAATTACCTGTCGAAAGAATGTGATTGGTTTTTGTAAAAGTTGTTGTGGATTACCAATATTACAATTTACAACTTCTGTAAAATTGTATTTACTTTTAGTATGTTTCTTAGATAATTGATCTCTAATTTTTTCTGCTCGAGTTGCTAATTCTCCACGAACAGCATAATCTACCTTCTTAACAAGAGGGTTTATATTTTCATACGTAAGTATTTTTGATCTCTTGACACCTACTTTTATTATATGGTATCAATTGAAGGAATTTAGATTAAGAAACTTAAAATTAAAAAGAAACAAATGAGAAAAAAGAGGGAATAAAACTCACTTAAAAAATAAATTTGATTTAAAGCCAAATTTAGCTAATTATCATCAATCAATTAAAACAAACTAACCTGACTTATTAGTAGTTCGTTGTGAGTAATTTGCAATGGACATTTTAAATTTTAAAGTTTTTTTATAATAAAAATTTTTACAAAAACAATTTATTGTTGATGATTTAGTTGTTGCTGTTATTGATTTATTATGATTATAAAAAATTAAATTAAAGTGTATTGAAGAATTTAATAAAGTTTTACAAGTATTTTGAAACATTATATATATCGTATCGAGTATATTAATTACCGATTAACTTATAAAAAAAACCAGTTAAATAAAAACGCGACAAAATTAAAAAAATAATTATCTTAGATTAAACATTATTGATTAAATTAGTGCGATAATAATAATGATGAAAATTTTTTTTTAGATGTAAATTTTTCTGCCGCATCCGCTGTATTAAACAAAAATGTTATTGGAAGAGATATGCCGCGTGGTTGCGACAAACTACACGATTACAATATTGTGGCGTTGTAATACCAAATTTAATTAAAATAAATATAAAAATGGAAATTAATTAAAGCTTATAGTACATAATGTAAATAAATGCAATACATGTAAATGTAAAGTAATCAATATAAATGTAATGAATGTAATAAATGTAATAAATGTAAATGTAATACAATGAACGCAGTAAATGAAATGTAATAAATGTTATAAATGTTACAAATGTAACAATGTAATGAATCTATAGTAATCTTATATAATGTCATTCATTACCAAAAAGCACACCAACCAATATAGCATTGACAAAGATTTTCAACTGAGGTTGCTTGTTGAATTAATTTTTCTACTTGAGATGGAACATCTAAAACTTGGTTTTCGTTAAAATCTTTACCTAAATTTAAGAAATTAATGTGATATAATTATCATCATTAATTTAATTAATAAACGAATAAAACACTCAAATGATATTTGATAATGTATATCATATACCTGTTAGTTTATTTGATATACGATGTATAATGTCACGTGCGCGACGATTTGATGCTCCTGCATTGTTGATAGTCTCTCCGTCTATTTTTTAAATTGTTAAAAACAACTACAATTGAATAAAAGATTTTAAAATTTACACCTATTTATTATTATTTTCAATACCTTGTCTAGGACTTGGGTTATTCATTATTCTCCAATTAATAAGTGGATCATGTACAAATGCTTCTAATACTGCCATGAGACTCTCTTTATTTTTACGTAAAACACTCATGACAGCTTCACATGTTATACGAAAGTTTCCTTCAATTTCACTAACTTCCATAGCTTTTCTGAGCATTCTTGTCAATCTAAACGGAATCCTTTCCGGATATTTTTCTCTTGTCATAGCAACCTCAAAACAATCTCCAAAATCAATATGAACTATTTTTCCTGTATATCGATCCAACATTATATTTGATGGATGTCTATCACCAAGTCCAAGTATATATCCTACCATTGACATAAGTGCTAATGATCTTGTATAATTGGTACGGCGATCTAACCATGCTTCAGAATTTTTACTCTTGAACCATAATACTTTATAAAGATCTTGTCCTGTTGTATTGGCCAAAGCAAACTCAAATATTTCTACCTTTTGTAATATTGTACAATGGTCATAGTCAGGCGCCATCTGAATAAAATAAGTCGATTATCATATAAACGTTGAATGATATCTTGACAATGCAATTTATTTAATAGAGATATAATTATATACAAACCTGTAACATTAATCTATGTTCAATATTCAATAGTATTTTCTTGCTTTCACGATAATCACGTATTAATGCATGTAATGTATCACAATTAGGAACCCAACCAAGAAGTCCAATATTAGGTGTAAGCGGCGTCACTGTATATCTTTGTATGTGCAAATGCCTTTTAAATGTCTCTGAATCTAACGATATTAGTGTATTTACCAAGCCAAATAATTGCATAACCCTTTCATCTTGTCGTAAATCCTCATGGCCTACAAAAAAGTATATGTTTCAATACACATACACGTAATAATAACCATAGTAAAATCATAATGATAATAACAAAATCAAAAGAAAACCTTTTAACAAGAATTGGTATTCTTTTCCGTCACTTCCTTTTACATTAAGCTTTCTTGGTCGTTGTTTAGATGAAATTATATTAACTGTAGGTATAAAGCTAACAATTTTTATTACAGGTTCACCACTTTTGTATGTTCCTATAAACATTAGATTTAGGAAAAGTCAATTACCCTCAATGCTAAAATAAAATATAAAATTTTAAAAGTCTAAACAAACCAGGTACAGCTAATTCAAGATCTTTAGCAGCTAATAATTTTGGTGAAACGTATTGAAGTTCAAGTGTTGAAATGTTGGTGACTTGTGTAGTAATTTTTTTAAACAACTATATTTCATTCATTTCAATTCAAATCAATAATAATAAATTTTCTTAAATATATTTACACTAAAATGATATTATACTAAATAAAAATATATTTCTACGTACTTCATGATAAATTTGCCACGCTTGTGTAAGCAAACCTGCATCCCCTAATTGCTTATATTTTTTGCATAATGAGTTTGCTTCTAGAAGCTCCCTACCATAAGCTTGTACAAAAGTTATTTCACGCAATGTTTCAGGTCCACCATCTAAACGTTCTTGTAAATCATCTAGTATTTGAAACATTGCATCATAATTACGATCAATAAAATAAAGTCTTGAGGCTTCTTCCAATTGTTCCATCCATATCTCATGCCATAAAATAGCAACACGGATCAACTCTTGGCTGACAAGCAATGCCTGTATAATATAATATATTTAATCTTTTAGGTTACAAAAATATTTTTATTTTATTTTATTAATTATAAAAACATATTTACTTGGTCAACAAGTACTGGGCTGTGTGAACGTAGTTTATCCATAACTGTCAAGGCTGCTTTCTTTCTATTTAAACTTTGAGATTTTGATGCAACAGTAAGTGGATAAATTAAAGCTTGAGGATGTTCTTTACCAACTTCTGTAAGTAATTGATGTATCAATCGTCTAACATTTGTATTAGACACATGAATTCGCGCAATAAGCTATATATAATATATTGTAAAGTTATTAATCATATATAATCATTATTTTTAATGAATATGAAAAAAATAAAATCTATTTTATGTTAGTACCTGTGGAATAACCTCTAACCAAGTATCTATGTTGACGCTGCTAAACCCTTCGTTTATTGCGGTGCTAACTTCTTGATGGTATCCGTACTTAAACCAAAGAGTTAACAATCTTAATGTGTCTTGTAGGCAATTACCTCTTGACAATGCAATTGAACAGAAGAATCCTAAAATAATATTGTTAACTAATAATCTTAACAATAACAATAACAATAACAAATCATCTATTTTACCTTGTACTGAGGGTACAACATAACGTAAAATTTCCCGTTGAATTTCTGAATTCATCATTTCCTCAGAAACTTCAACGATTTCCTGGTCATCTGATCTATTATTCTCTAAAGCATTACGTTTTTCATAATGAGAAATAACTTCAAAATTAGCAAGAGCCCATGCATGCCATGCTTTATAACACTCTTTATCATACTGTGTTGCATGTAAATAAGATTGTAGAATCTCTGGAATTGTATCCTAATATATTAAATAGATCATTATTATTCATGTAAAAAAACGCTAGTTGTGAAGTTTTTTGAGACTTAAACGTAAAAAAACATACTCGTTCCCAATCATCCTGAAGAGTCTTTTGCCATTCACCTTTTTTAAGGTAACATCTAGCAAGCAAGCTTGTGTTACCAACGTGAAGATCGTCTGATATCCTGTCAGTAAAATCTCTTAATAATTTGAATGCATCGTGGCGTTCACCTTTTGCCCACATAAATTTCAATTGTGCATAAACAACTTGAGGAGCTGCTCTTTTTAACACCTTTTTTTTAAAAAAAATTTAAAATGCTATTATTACCATAAGCACAATATATATTATAGGATAATTTCATTAATTAGAAAATTTACCGATGGATGAATTGCTTCTAGTTTTTGATCACCGACTAGCAACTGTCTCAATGTTTTCTCAGCAAGTTCTAAACTATCACTCTTTCTACATAGATTAGCAAATTTAATCCACATCTCCATATTTTCTTTTGGTGATATGACTAATGCTCGAACTTTTAAAATTTTTTGCCATACATCTACATCACGTTGACATCCCTTCAATCTTCAAATGAATTTGATAAGTAATAATTCAAATATATATTAATTAAATAAAAAATTACAATTAAAATTTACCTTTCCATCCAAGTTTTCCTAATAGTTGCTTGTCTATCAGGTTGATCTGAAAATTGTTTATATGTTATGATTTCTTCCAATTCTGATAACATTTGAACGCGTACAACAACACTAAAATAACAATAATAAATAATCAAAGGATATATTATCCAAGACAAATAAATAAACATATTTTATAGAGATTCTAAATATGTAAGTAAATATATACCTGTATGCTCTGTTATAACTTTCACCAACAAGAGCAGTCAACTCTGTATCTAACAGATCACGAGTTTTATTAATGTTAACTGCTGCATCATTATATAGATTTTTATGTAAAGCAAGGATTGCTTGGTAGAATGTACGATCTGGTGAATCTTCTTTTATAGTTGAGACATAATCTTCCATTAAACCCCATTGACCTAATGCCCAAGCTCCAGCAGCAGCATAGATTGACATGGATTCACGCATTTCATATGTTGATTCGGGCCATTTTTCTTGAACTAAAGCAGATAAACCATCCGTGTTGCCCAAAGAAAGCATACATCTCATCAAACCAAGCGTTGCTTTAAAATCATTTGGATCCTCCTTACTTCTTTTTTGATGAGCATCGAAAGCATCTTCCCAACGATTCAATTTTTCATACCAATTTTCTTTTTTCTGAAAATCTTGAATGTTTGGCATTTCTTGTGCCAATTTAAGAATTCCTATAGCCGCATCAGGTAATTGTAATTGGTTATTAATTTGAATTAATTTTTCGATTGTTTCTGTTGAAGCGTCTGACATGAATTCGATTTCTTTATAATGAAGAGCCTTTGCATATGCATGACAAGATTCAGCATGATTTCCAAGTGTCCCAATGTCAATAGGCAATGCTTTATCATAATGTTCCATGAACTCTGCTAAATTTAAAATGGTTGATACAATCTCTGGAGGAATGTTAGGAGCCTTCAATGCAGACATTAAAGAATTCACAAGCTCATCCTATATTTTACATTATAATAATAATTTAAATATTACATAATATTAATTTTTTAATTATTTAAAGAATAGTTATTACCTTGTATTGATAATATAATTCTGACCAACAAGATATAAAACCAGCATTGAAAAGTTCTCTTGCTAAAGGTTGATAAGTACCAGCAAGACTTGCACAAGCCCGAAGTGCATGCGATGGTGACTCTTTAAGAAGTTCAACACTTAAGCGTCTATTCCATTCACCCCAATCTTCTTTTGTGGAACATTGTGAACATTCCCATGCATTTTTCAAATGTTGCTGATTCACAGGCAATTTTTTTGCATTAGTTTCAACAGCAGGCAACTCCTCCAAATGTGCCTCATTGAATTTTTCCTCGGTATCTAAATCTTGAGATAACTTTTCACCCTTCAAAAGTTTAGAAATTAATTTTTCATAATTTTGATGCTGGATTTTATATTTGTGTAAAACTTTGTTTATCATAGGAATAAATACGACATAATCTGATCCAAGTTGATATACTAGAGCACAAAGTGTGTCCATAGCAGCCATTTTAAGTTCATAATTAAATATGGCTAATACCCGAGCAAGTGGATGAATTATTCTGGATGCAAGGCCTGAAAAATTCACTTTTTTTGATAGTTCACCAATGGTGCTAATAGCTGATTTACGAAGCTGTAAAGGTGCATCAGGCCTTTCAAAAAGTCTGACTACTACTGGGATAACGAGATGCATATATTCTTCAATGTTGGTTCCAAACACTACTAGTGCATGCAAAACTTTTTGAGTGGGTTGACGTTTATCACTATCGTCCTGATCAAAAATTTGAAGCATTATTGGTAAAAGATTTGGCAGATAATTTTTAAACTCTCCGTCTAGAGCCTTAGCAATCTCTTCAACCAAATGAATTATTGTTATTTGAATTGGAGAACTTGGTTGCCAAAATAATTCAATCAATGCAAAAATGTCTTGAAGATAATTGCGAATATGTTGTTGTACAATTGAAACAAGTATGCCTAATTGTTGAAAATAAAACTCTAACATTGCAGAAGGACATGTTTTCATTACTCCAAGGAAAGCTGGAGTTATCTATATATTTTTCAAATGATTGAATAAAAACATTTTCTTTTAAAGAATACTATTATAATAGTTATTAGTAATGTTATGGATTACAACTTACCTGTGATAAAAAAGGTACACATTTCAAACTTAGAGTCTTAAAAATATACATTACTGCTTGAATCACTGCAGTGTGATGAATATTTAAAGAGGGATCACGGAGAATTTTCATCAAGGCATTTATTACAACAGTTGGATAATAATCTTCTGATGACGGTCCCAAACCCATCAGTAGCAATGTAACGTCAGTATTTGTAGATTTTGGATCAGACAAAGATTCCTCAGAAGAACTTATCGTAATCTAAATATTTAAATTAGATTAATAAACTCCATTTTTTTAATTAAACCAAAAAAAAAAAAATATAGCAAAGAATATTATTACTTTGTGTCTATATGGATCTAAAGCACCAAGAATTCCTATTAATCTAATAGTTTCACGTCTAATTGATGGTGTCAACTCAGTTTTTAAAATATTAATTAAAATAGATAATAGTTTAGGATATTTCAAATATGGTTCAATAACAAATCCTGTATTGCTAGAAAGTTGTCCTAGAGCTTTTAATGCTGCATCACGTTTTGCCGTTGAACCTTGATCTTGCAACGCATCAATTATTAAAGGCATTAGACTATTAAGGTATGGCAAAAGATCTTCCCCCCCTACACGTGCCAATTCTCCAAGTGCTCCTAAAACACTCGCAGCCACTGCTGGATTAGAATCTCGTGATTTAGATAAAAGAACTTTTAGTATTGTTTCAACATAAGGTCTGATTAATTTTTGGGATGCTGATGCCAATAAACTTAAAAGACGTGCACTCTCTTCTTTATTTCGACTAAAGATTTTTTAAAACGAGTATATAAATATTAAAAATTGTGTAAAGATGCTTTTTTAAGTAGAAGAAATAAACTAATTTACCTGAAATTTGAAAATTTTAATTCTGTCAAAAGTTGGATTAATGTTTTTCTTAATGATGGCATTACATAAGCTGGATTATGAGAGGTGAGTCTACCAATTATAGAAATTGTAATTTCACGAATTGCAAAAACCTCGTCATTAAGGGCAATAAAAAGAGAACGAATATTTTCGGCTTGTGATAGATGTCGGTCAAATCTTTCCGTAAGATTTGATAAGACAATTTCTCGGATATGTGGATCTTTTGAAAAAACAAAGAATTATTCATAAAAAATGATTGTCTTTTTATTATAGCAATGAAAAAATAGATAATTAAATATATATAAATTCAATTAAATACCTGGGTCTGAAACACCAGTGGTTAAAAGTCTTTCTAAGACTTCACTGACTACTTGTATTGCGTGATTACTTGTTTGATCCAAAATTGGATCATGTGCAAATATTTGACAGCAAGTAAGAGCTGCAGCTTCTCGAACTTCATGGTTATCTTGTTCAAGATAACATATAACATAATCCTTTACAAACTCATTCAAAATATGTCCTATAATAAAAGGTATTAAAATATTAACATAAGGTATTTTTGGAAGTGAAATACTAGATTATAATCATAATACCTTTGAAATTAAAGGTTCCAAGTGTTTTCAAAGCCAAAATTATAGTTTCTACATCCTTCATGTCTGAAATTTGATTTGCAAGGCGTCGTTTTATTTCATGAATTTCTGATGCAGGAGAACCTGGTGGTCGAAATGACTGTCCACATAGAATTAATGATAGCATGTTCAATAAATGATCTATTTTCAAATAATTAATAAGAGTAATTTTAATAAATAAAATAATAAAGATATCTATTGAAATGAAATGAAAGACAAATAAATACCCTGAATAGTGTGCAATAGAGGAGGTATGTAAGTAGCCAATTCCATTAATGCTTGACATAAAGGCTCACTTAATCCACATGCAAACATTAATTCCAAAAGTTCATGCATATGTTTTGTTAATGGCTGACCAACTGCTTTCGCCAACATTCCTATACATTGAAATAATGGTGCCTCATTACCACCTCGATTTCGACTGATAATTAATTTGAATGAGTGCAATAATAATAATAACAATAATAAAATAAATTAAGTTAGTTTATTAAATGCTAATAAATTAGACTTGAAAATATATTTAATATTTTTTTTTGTTTAATTACGTTTTTGGGGAAAGCCCTTCTTTTATATTGCTTAAAATTGAATCCAAATAAGGTCCTATATCAATTCCAACAGCATAAGCCACCTGACCGATTGCAATAAATGCTATTTGAATAATAATGATGAGAATGATGTGATGATAATGTTAATAATATCGACGTTGATGAGAATAACGAACAACATGATCAAAACTTAAGAATTATAATATATATAAAAATACCAACACATTGAACGATCTCGTTCCTTCTTAAGTTGACTTAATAAATATAACATAGATTTGTGTATATAAGTTGATACAAATTCTCTCTCATCAAATTCAGCAAGCACAGGGATTAAAGAAATCACTGTTCTTCTAATAAGACTATCACGATAATCTTTAAATTTTAAAATAGTCTCACATACATTCTTATAATGAGCACGCATGAACTAAATGTTTTGTAAAAAAATTTTTAGTAATCAGAAAGACTATTTAAAAGCATATTATGTTATATATAATAATTAAATGGGAAATAAACATGTACCGATTTTGCATGATGTAATAGTTCTCTATACGCTAATAATGAACCATGTATGTGGTCAGCATTGTTTGATTTTAATGATTTTGATGCTTCTTCATAAATTTTTTTATACCATTGTATCCTATAAGCACTTTCTCTTTCACAAACAATTTTCAAACAAGAACTTAATGTTTCTGCTGATGCTTCACGAATCATTTGCTTCTGATCACGTAAACCATTCCATATATGATCAAGTATTGAAGGTACATGGGTGTAAATTAAAGTTGGTGTATTTTGAGCAAGTTCTTTTAACACTAATACAGCAGCATAACGGCGATATTCACTTTTGTCACCTTTAATATTTGTAATTAATATTTATTATCATTGGAAAAAAATTGAGATCTTTAAATATAGTAATGTACTTTGAAAAAATTTTAAATGGTATTTCTGTATTATTTGTATCGTTACCTTGGAGATTTTCAAGTGAATTATTTACTTCACGTTGTACAAAAATTGCAGTAACTGCACCACTTGGAGCAGCCAATTTTCCTTTTTTTTGGTAAAATATAATAAACCAACTTAGATATGTTAAAAAAATTTTTTTTTTTAAAATCATTATCATCAAAATCATTATAATAATTTTTCAACCTAATGCTTTTGATGCTAATATCATAATCTGTTGATCATTACATGGCAAGACCAATTTTAAATAATTTGTGAAGCGAGATAAAGTAGCTATTTCAATTTCATCTCTAATAAGTATATCTAAAATGATTGATCAGTAATTAAATAAGAAATAATTAATAATAATGATAAAAATAATAATAATGATAAAAATAATAATAATGAAATAATGATAATATGAATATGAAAATGAAAATGAAAATAATTATCTACCAATTGCAAGTATTCCTCCGATTTTTTGAGCATCAGGCGTGTCAGGCTGCATCATTTCAAATATGCGCTTATTGGCTTCATTTAATAAGTTTGGTTGACCTTCGACCTATTGACATCATCATAACATATACACATACAAGTCATTAGAAATTTTTGTTTGGAGATTGAAAGAATTTTTAATTGCTTTCCTACCAGTAAACGAAGATCGTAGACAGCCTTTTGCTGTACGGCTTTATCTCTTTAAAGTATCATCAACATTTTACCGTTAGATATCAGAATTTTTTTTTTGTTTAGTTCAAATTACAAAGGGATCTATCCTGTTTATTTGAACATTCCTTTTAATTGAAACACTTACTTGTTCTTCAATCTTTGAAATATCTCGTCCATTTTCCCAATGTATATATGACTATAAATTTATTTATTTAATGGGAGGGTTTATTTACTTTAAATTAAAAAAAAATAATATATATCTGATACAAATAAATAAATTAATTTTATTTTTACATTCTACTATCATCATGTTATTATTATAGATTGGCGTTTGGTTTTGTATTGTCACGCCAATTTGTGACACTGAAATAAGATGGTTGGGATATGCGTGTATCACCAAAAAATTTTTCTAAATTTATGTTGATAAACTTGAATGATAGTCAGTGCTTACAGAAGAGATAAAATTTGCTATTCATAGTATTATTGTGAATTTGCAATTCTATAATTAACAAGTAAACCTTATTACACTAAATCAGGAAGATCCAAATCCTCCCTATAGCTAATTGTGGCTTCATAG